TTTCCTATCGTATGATGAGTAAAAAAAATGCAAATCAGGTCACCTACCAGGAACTACTTGTATTTATTGTATAATACAAACTGTTAGTTCTATCTGCTTCCAGCTGCATTTGTTAATATTTATTATGAAAATAGCCACGTGGGGATTCCTGGTTAGAACAGGTTCCCAGCCACATCTCGAATTGCTTTGTGTCACAGTCGAGTGAATTGGAGGCTCCCTGGCTTTATTTCCGACACCGCTCGGCAAAGTCCGGCGCTCGCCATTGTTCAGTGCCATTACATTCTGTGTTAGGGAATTAGTGGCCCAACTATTTCATTCTCTTGAGATCTTGAGGCACTCTCAAACTATGTATTGACTGGATGTATGTTATCTCCTATATGTTCGCTACCTTATTCATGTGTTGAAAATGTTTTTGTAACTGTGATTTTTAAACAGGGAAATTTATATGTACACTTTCTCATATATTTATGATAATTTTTGCCTCCTCAATAATTTTCATAGCTTGTTGAATATCCTTAGTGACACTGTTGGCTAGCTTATGTTCAGGGCTTTATTTTGATACTTACATCTTCAGTATAGATATAGTAGTTAGTTTATTATTCACGTTTTCCCCATGTTCAGAAACACAGTTTGGCTAAACGCCTCAGTCTGTTGTATTCCCCGGCCCGCGCCGTATATTTATACTTCTGTCAGGATCTGGTGTCTTCACCCCGCAGGATTCGTTGGGCCGTTTTGTACGGATCGGTGTGCTGCTGGGTGGTATCGTTCGAAACTCAGGTTTCGTTAGTAGTGGTTTCGGGACACTTTTCGAATTTCTTCTGACATGGTCGGATTGTACAAAACTAAACTCAGAACGTAATCGGTGGATGACCAACCTTCCGTGATTGTCTAGCTTTTGGGGAATTTTAGTATTTCTTTGTTCTGTCAATGGAACTGAATCTTTAGTCGTTCAGAGTAGTTTGATATTTAGACGTACTCGTCTACTTTGTAGTTTAAGTGACTAAGTTTTGGGATAATTTGGGTTTATTTCCCGTTATTTAACCCAGCCGAGGTTATTCACTCATACGTGTTACGTTAACTGGCTCAGGTCTTGGTCGCAGCCGACTTAATTGGCTGTCTACGCATCTTGTCTGTATCTTGTCAAAGTGTTGTTTTAGCTACTCTCATTTTATTACTGTAATACAGTTGCTCAGCTAAGCCGCTTGTGTATTTGCTTAGATGTAATTAATCAGTGATCTTTGTCAGCGCAGATTGGGTTTATATGATCTTTTATTGTCATTTATTAGTACAATTAGCTGTTATTAACAAACCTGTGAACCTAATACCACGTTTTCATTATTATTTAATTCTTATTTAATGATGCCACGGTCATGTCCCATTAGTCATACGCCCATTTGTCATACTCCCAATAGTTATACAGCAAATGAGGGGTTAGTTAAAACAACAATAGGCATATACCCTTTGGTCAAAATGGATTAGTCCACTAATTAGAAAGCTTGGGATTAGTTTATTCTCTAACATAATTATCTATACTGAGTATGACACAGTCTTACGTTAAGTAATATACATTGAAGTTATTTGAACATAATACAGGACAGTCTTTGATAATCAAAACATTCAAATTAAAGTTATTTAAATAAATACCTATAATATGTAAGGAACAAGTACAGGATTCATCTCAAACTATTTACTGTTAATTACTGAGTTAAATTGAGTTTACTCAATTTAGTGAAAAAAACACAAACTAGTACATAAAAGTGTCTATGTTTTAGACTCTAGCATATCACTCTTGTTATCATGGCAGGATTGATTGACGTGGAATATGTTACTTCTAGGCGAGGTACACAGCAGGTACTGTTTCAAGGTCACCTTCACAACAAGAACTCTACAAAGGAACACTGTATCCACTGGAAGTGTGTCGTGAAAACTTGCTGTGGTAGAGTTACAACAGTTGGAAAATATGTCAGGTACACCACTCCTCATAACCACGGCCCACAAGAACCTGACACAGTTAGATTTGTCAGTAATATGGTAAGAGGTGATGTGGAACTTGAGTGAACTTGAGGGAAAGTGGACTGAGACAGCTGACGGCCAACCATATCTGTTGTTTGCTGACGGTGATGGCGAAGAAAAGATGTTAGTCTTTTCCTCTTTGGATCAGCTGACTGTTTTGCAGTCAGCAGATAACTTCTACAAGGATGGTACATTTTCATCACCAACTCTTCATTATCCATGCCAGAAGAGGTTCGAAGACCTACCCCTTGGTGTTTGCTCTTCATCCCGATCGCCAGACAACAACCTACTGCCGGCTTTTCCACCGACTGAAGGCAGAAGTACAGCTGAAACTCAACAGAATCCTCGCTCCTGTCACCGTTCAGACCGACTTTGAGCAAGCCGCCATCCAAGCTATCGAGACTGAGGTTCCTGCAGCCAGAGTGAGAGGATATTACTTTCACTTCACCCAAGCCATCTGGAGGAAAGTACAAGACTTGGGGTTAGCTGTCCCATACCAAGGAGATCCTGAGGTCAGACGCTGGGTCAGAAGAGCATCATTCCTGGCTCTGTTACCGGAAGCTGACGTCCAAGATGCCTGGATCGACGCCATGGACGATACGCCAGAACTAGACAACGCTCAGAGATTTAATGATTATATTGTAACAACTTGGGTTGATGATGATGCTAGATTCCCCATCCCTCTATGGAATCACCACCGAAACATTGGACCTCGCACGAACAATAATCTTGAAGGCTTCCACTACCGACTGAACAAGTCTCTGTCACATCCTCCTCCAAACATTTATCGTTTTGTTGAACTGATCAAGCAAATTGAGAATTCTGAATCTGCCAAGATGCGTCAAATTGACTTTGGTGCTGCTCCCCAAGGCAGAAAACGAGTGTATCGCGAGAAGGAAAATCAGATTGTGGGACCAACTCCAAGTAGGTCAGAAAAACTGTGTTCAGTTTCTGGATGCTGCTGGTTATCTGTATCCAACTGACCACTTAATGTGAAACTGCCAAATCAAAATGTTAATATGTGATCCTGTGTTAATGATCATTTAACTTGCAGTGATTACTTAATGTGATTATTTATGTATATATGTCATATAAGATTATAGGTCATTGATGATGATATGTGCTATGATGAATATAAATGCTATGCTGAGGAGTATTAAAAGATTATTAAAAGTATTGAAAGTTGTAATTTTGTGTTTCTTGGATCATTCCACTTTAATTGTGGGTATTACAAAGGTAGCTGTTGGTGCAGTCTACCATACCATATGTTGTTTTAACCCGTATGACTAATGGGAGGACACCTGATGCCACTGATCATTGGAACACAGCTTCGTGACACCATCTAGGCTTGTCGTAAGAGGCGACTAAATGGATCGGGTGGTCAGGCTCATTGACTTGGCTGATGGTGTGTCAGTTTCCCGACGGCGTGGATCGTTGTTCATGATATTAATCACCGGACTGTCTGGACTGGACTCGAGTATTTACATACTCTGTCATCATATATATGTAGCTGGAATATTGCCACCAAAAAAATCATTTTGTTAAAAAATCAGAGGTGAAAATTCCCACATACAATGAGAGCATTTTAATGACGTCTTCAGACACAAGTGTTTGACACCAACTCGTACTTCAAGTCAGTGTGCCAAAGACCACGAAGCACATTTTCTTCTACGTTCCTCGTGCATGGTCGTAGCGAGGTGAGACAAGTATTTGAGTCTTCAGGTGGTCAGTGACACATATGCCGATTTTAGAGCGCATATGATATTATATAATGATATTATATATTAATTATATATAATGCCTAATTTAAGTTAAGAAAATGTAATCATATGCATTTATTGATTTCTGTAATTTAATAATATATAATATGTGGCTCTTATTTTAAGACTTCTTACTTCTTAAATCTTCTTACTGTACATGACCGCCTCCGTTGTCCAGTCAAAAGGATCTTTACCCAGAGAGCAGAAGGTCGGTGGGTCGATCCCCTGGCTGCTTCATACCAAACGACATTAAAATATGGTATTTGTTGTTACCTGGTGTTCGGGGATAAAACAAGGACCAGTCGGCTTGGAGTCGGCTCGTTAAAATGTAATGCAATGTACATTGGGTACAATGTGTGAAGCCCATTTCTGGTGTCCCCTGAACTGATATTTGCTGGAATATTGCTGAAAGTGGCGTAAAACCATACTAACCCTCCATCCTCACCTGACTTTACACAACAAACTACTTGTCAAAACATACAAAGAAAGCTTGACGCGCATTGGGGTGGAATAAAAGGTCACGCTTTAAATCGTCTTCAGGGAACACGGGTGGCCCCGTTGTCTAAGGCGGAGCATATTGCTGTGCAGAGTTGCACATCTAAGACGTACCAGAAACCTGTGATCGTGGGTTTGGATCCGAGATTCTCCCAAATTTTGTGTCTGGGTTTGTCAGCACCATGGGTTTCACCAAAGTGGTAAACGTCTGGGACCTGCATCACTTCGGGCTTTCCTCCAACATTAAGCTGACACATCGTGATATAGCTGGAATATTATTCAAAGCCACGTTAAACCCAACCCAATATAACATGTGACCCATGAAGATCCGGGGTAGAACAGGTTTTCAGCAACCCATGCTTGGTGTAAGAGGCGACCATGCTTGTCGTAAGAGGCGACTAACGGGATCGGGTGGTCAGGCTCGCTGACTTGGGTTGATGCATGTCATCGTATCCCAATTGCGTAGATCGATACACATGATGTCAATGATTGGATTGTCTGGTCCAGACTCAGTTATTTACAGACCGCCGTCATATAGCTTGAATATTGGTGAGTGCGGCGTTAAACAACCAACCAACCAAACATAACCTGTAAATGTGGTATGTTGACCAAAAAGAGTTTTTCCTTCATAATGTTTGTGTTTTAAAATACAGCATGTGACCATTATATTCCGATACATCTCCACAAATAAGTTTTCATACATTTTAGACAACTTCATTGCTTTTATTGCAGCCAAACTGGAGGGCTCCGATTTCTTCGACCGTATCCCAGGACTGTGTCGGGTCATTGGCTCGTTGTGCACGATGTCGTGCGTGGCGTCTCTCATGACCATCGCCGCCATGAGCTGCAACAGATACGTCTTCATCGTCCACAGCAAATACTACAGAACCATCTTCAAACCTCGCAACTGCGTCATCTTCTGCATGAGCTTCTACTGCGTGGGTCTCTGTCTCGTCCTGCTCAACCTCGCCAACATTGGCGACCACAACTTCGACCACAAGAGCCTCGAGTGCATCTGGGCGCGGATGGCGACGTATCCCTACACCGTGGTATTCTCCATCGTGCTGGTATGGATGCCAACCACCGTCACCGGAATCTGTTATCTGCGCATGTACCTGCACGTGCGAGCTGTGAGAGAGCGCGTGAGGCAATCACGTGGCGACAGGTCCAAAACCAACACGAACAAACCTCTGAGTTTTCGACTGGCCAGAACACTATTCATCATCTATGTCGTGTTCAGCGTTTGCTGGATCCCCTACACGCTCATCATTGTCCTCGACGCAAGTGACACGTTTCATTTCGGGGCGCACGTGTATATCGTGGTTTTTGCGCATCTGCACCCGTCAATCAACTGGCTTGTCTATTACGCCACTCACCGGAAGTTCCATAACGCTTTCCTTGAAATCCTGCACCTCAACAAGTGTTTGAATACATAATCGGATGTGCAGGGTCACAAACGCCAAATCACAGTTCGAAACAAACTGGTACCACTAATGATATTTGGAGAGAAAAACAAAACCCTTTATAGGACTCGACGATACCTTTTGTTGTGCTGATTAACAAATAACATTTAAAATAGAAGCATTGTGAATGAGAATGTGATCTGTATGATTCGTTGAAGGAATGAGTGAGTTGAACGAATTTTCATTCATGCCCCAACCAAGAGTGATCCAGTCTGGACAAATGAACCAGTGATCGATAGTGTGTCAGGATACGGTGACATATGAAAGCAGACACGTCTTAAGACGTCATTCAAATCCAATCTTATAGTTCGTTACGATACCTCGCTGTGTGAAGATATGACGACACCTCCATAGAAGGTGGACTCAAGGTTGCGTCAAATAAATACCGGGCGAACTTTGACTACCCAATGAAAATGAAGGTTTCATAGTTTCTTGAGCCAACCAGGTTTCTAAAACGATTCGGCATAATTTCCTAAGATTTAAAACCCGAATCCAAGGGATAAAACCGACGGTCATCAGCCCCGATGTTTTATCCCGGGGATGAGGGTTTTAAATCTCATAAAACCTAGTGCAACGACGCGCAATGCACGAGCAATGTCAAACCGACAAGATTGTTGAAATCAAGTTTGGAATCATGACATATCACACTCTCTCCTTTCAATTTGTAGGGGGCACGGGTGGCCCAGTCGTCTAAGGCGCCGCGATTCGCTGTGCAGGGTTGCGTCCCTTGGGCACGCCAGAAACCTATGATTGCGGGTTCGAATCCCGGTTCGCCCCGATTATGTTTCTAGGTTTGTCAGCACCATACCCGTGCTCGTGGGTTTCACCGAAGTGGTAAACGTCCTTGATCTGCATCACTTCGGGCTTTCCTCCCACATTAAGCTGACACGCCGCGATATAACTTGAATACTGTTAAAAGCGGCGTTAAAACCAACTCACTCACTCACTTTCAATTTGTATTGCATATTCAGTACCCTAATTGTGATGGCACGTCGTAAATTGTCAGAGGCTACCAGGTGGCAAATTACTGGCATGAGAAATGCAGGAATGTCCCTTAGACAAATTGGACATCAATTTGGACGCAATCCTTTCATCATTTCAGACTCTTGAACAAACACATGGCTACCAGTAATGTGAAAGATCGTCCAAGACCTTGCAGACCCCGTAAGACAACAAGAAGAGAGGATAGAGCATTGTTGAGACTTTAAAATCTTTAAAGCAACTGTGGTTACCAGGGAGGGCCTTTTCCTTCAGGACAGTCAGAAATCGGCTGAAAGCAGCAGGATACAATGTCAGAAGGGGGGACACGGTTGGCCCAGTCGTCTACGGCGCCGCGATTCGCTGTGCAGAGTTGCGTCCCTTGGGCACGCCAGAAACCTATGATTGTGGGTTCGAATCCCGGTTCGCCCCGATTATGTTTCTAGGTTTGTCAGCACCATACCCACGCTCGTGGGTTTCACCGAAGTGGTAAACGTCTGAGACCTGCATCACTTCGGGCTTTCCTCCCACATTAAGCTGACACGCCGTGATATAACTGGAATACTGTTAAAAGCGGCGTTAAACCCAACTAACTCACCCACTCACTCAATGTCAGAAGACCCATCGAACGTATTAAACATTCTCCTACTCACAAATTAGCACGACTTGGCAGGTATAATCAACGTGTTCGCTGGAACATTGCATCATGGCGGGGGATTCACTTTTCAGATGAGAGTCGGTTCTTATTTGCATATGGTGGTTGGTCGTACACGTGTCCGGAGACAAAGGAACACAGTCGTGGTTCCCCGCAATATTCGGGAGACGGTTCCCTTTGGGGGTCAGTCATGGTATGGGGATGTATTTCCTTGGGTTGCAAGATGGACCTCATCACCATTCGTGGTAACCTTAAATGGCCTCGTTATTAACAGGAGATCCTTGAGAGAGCCCATTTTGATAATCATCCTCTAGCCATAAGACCCATCTTCATGGATGGCAATGCCAGGCCCCACAGGGCACATGCTGTCTCTCAAATCTTGCAACAGAATGCTGTTAAGACCATTCTATGGCCAGCCATGAGTCCAGATTTCAATCCCATTGAGCATGTGTGGCCGTCGTGTTCGCCAAAGAGACCCACCTGTCCATACGCTCAATGAATTGACTACTGCTGTGTATGACGAATGGAACAGAATTCCTCGGAATCAAATCCAGATTGATCCAAAGAATGAGGAGGCGTCTTGAAGCAGTTGTTCGGGTTCAGGGAGGTTGCACAAGATACTGATTGAAAGTCAATATTTGGACTTGCAGGACATTATTCTTCCATTCCGTGAACCAGAAGTGTGCATGGTACTGACAGTTAAGTCTGTGCAACAAAAGTGACATTCGTATTTTTTTGGACGAAATAAAGTCGTAACATCACCCCAAAAAGCACATTATTTCATGGTAACCTTAGCTATGTTTCTCCTCAACCCTTTCTTTTCACTAAATAATGTATTTGGTATGGAAATCTTTTACACTGTTCATGCACCAGTTCATTAAAGTTGCTCGGTCTGAGAATATACGGGTGTTGCTTAACTAATTTCCATGTGTATATATCAAAAATACTTTCCATGAACCCTAGGAAACTGGCGTAAAATATCTGTTGCTCGCGTACTGGACATTCTTAAAAGCATTGTGATTCATTAGCGCTTCTGTAGCCTAGTTGTTCACTCGCTGGGCTACAGATACGAGGGTTGCAAATTGGATCCATCTTACATCATTATACAGTTACAGTGTGACTTCTCTGATGGGGTGTCACCGTGGATCGGTGCTCATGCTGTCAACCACTGGTTTATCTGGCTCGATTATGAACAGTCATACAAACACAAATCAAAACCACACAAATTTGTCACCAGGTTTAATGAGTTGACAGTGTCAATATTTTCATATATAAACTTTGGTGCATCACAATATAAATTCACCTCACATAGATCTGTGATCTGTCTCAATTTCGATCCTATCCTAGGCACAATACCCAACGGTGACACACCACGGTTTACAAACGACAGGTTCGACAGCACATTGTTTTAACAACAGCTTTACTTCGGTGTCAATAAACAACACATCTGTTTCTGCCAAACAACGGTTTGGAATATGAAATGGCCCTGGTACCTTATGAAAAGGAATCTCCACACGATTAGCAACCCAATCCACGATGAAGTTATCGGGTCTAGGCTATACCTGTCAAGTTGATCCATTTATAAACTTTCGTAGACAACAAGCCAGCTTTAAAATAGTTATCGTGATTAAGTTCTGCTACCTGAATCATGATGACACTGAAAACAACAACCACGAACAGCCATATCGAAAGTGTCATTATGTATTAGCTGTAGCATCGCTTTCTTGTGCAGTGAATCGGCGACGAACGTCAATGCTTTGATAGGCATCGATGTAAGGTACACATCCTCTAAAATACAGGTACATTATGCACATAGCTAAACACTATTTCTGTGAGGAGTTCGAATGAGAAGAGAAAAATGTTTTCCGCGTTTTTTCATTTGCTCAACGATGTTTCTACTTTGTTATAGAAACGGAGTCGTGTTTATCTGGTGGCCTGGTAGCGCCCGCATCTGCCAGAATCTAGTCTCCTGACTGACGCAGCTGCGCATCCATCACGGACCTCCCGAGCCACAACGTCAGCCCCTCCCAAATCAGAATTTAATGCAGAAGATTGAGAGATCTGGCAAATGTGATTGGATGATTTTAAAATAGTTTATGACTGCTTCCCTAACTCCACTCTCTGCATGAACAGTCCAGGAAACAGCAGCAAGCCTGGAAGAGCAAAGACTCAACCTTTGCCTAATTTCGGGTAAAAAGAACAAACAGCTTTACTATTACAAATAATATTCTTCAGAGACTCAAGGTGGGACTGACCCGATTCAGCCGCTTGCCACTACAGTGATGCTGCGGTATCCTAGTCGTTGTCAGATCCAAGGAAGGAACCACATTGAAGACATATTGTTTGTTGTTGTTTTAATTCCGCTTAATCCAAGCATACACGTCCATGTAAAATAGCATATGACAACGTTGATGATTTCTGTTTTGGCAGAAGGGAATTATGGGTATCGCCGCCTGTCACAATCGTAAACAGAGAATAAGTCATCTGAAGACTGAGCTGAAGACGTTTGGTGAGAAATCCGAAGGGTCCCGGCAGAGAATGCTGGAGAAGAAAGTCCGGACTCTGGAGTCTAAGCTGGTTAAACAAACTCAGAAGGAGCAGACCAACAAAGTCCATTATGAGCGCCTGTTGAAAGAGGAGAGGGAGCTCTTGAACAGACTTAAAGAGGTAACTGGTCGCTTGCGGAGCCTTTCCTTTAGCATGCTGGCTAACAGCGAATCCTATCTTTAACCGACACACATACATATACACTGTCACACGAAACACACTCACTCATCCAAATCTTTCTCTCTCTCACACTCTTGTCTTCATCTGTTTCATGCATGTTTCTTATCAACCCCACTTTTGATTTTTTGAGTTGGTTTGTCTACTCCTTCTTCTGTCTTTATTCCCTATGTTGTTTGTCCCCACTCTCATCCCACCCAGACCTCTGATCATGCACGCCAAGAAGCGTTTGACCTGCACAAGAGTCAGTTGGAGTCGCTAGTTTCCAGTCTCAGAGTCTTTGTTGTCAAGACGTGTGCGTCTGACGACTGTGACATTGACAGGTACAGACATGGGGCGTGCTCTACTGTGTCACATTGTCTTGTACATTCTTTTAATCCTCTTGCTTCCACTCTCTCCCATCAGTAGTGATTATCATTACTCCGCCAGTAGTATATCATTATTACCTCGCCGAATCCATTTCTAATTGTGTTTCAAATAAATAAGATTGAACCAGCTTTGGGTATGCTGTATGTGTTGAACTTTATCAACTAACCTATACCCTGTGCATTGTTTGTATATATTTGTAACAGCGTTGTCTATTGCTCCAGGACCAGCCCCCTGAAGACCGCCATTGATAACATAGTTGTTGATGACATCACAAATGCCACCTGTGACCTGACCTCACAGAAGTACGTCTACCCAGATGTCGATGCCTGGCATCAGAGAGTTGGCTACTTTCAGAAAATTCCCACTCCCTTCATACGTACAGACGTGGGGATGGGACGAGACCCAAAGAAAGGCCTCGCTGAGATGAAACGCCTGGCACGTGAAGTCACGTCAGGCATGGGCCAGCCTCTTCAGAGTCGCAAAGACTGGATGTCTAAGTCTGGGATCACGGTAGTAAACGATGGCAACAACAACAACAACGAGATTATCACTGGTGCCACCCGGGGTAAATAGAGCATTATATATATATATATATATATATATATATATATATTATATATAAACTATCTCTAAAAGTATGATTTTAAGAGAATTCATTGTATTGTTCCAGACTGAATACTATACTTGAAAACATTGTTGTAAACTCAATATAAACCGAGTGTTGTAAGATGTAGATTTGAACCTGCCCATATCTCTCCTCAGCTGCAATGGAGGAGGCTGACGTAAAGGTCCTGGATGATGTGTACGCGCGGGTCATCCGCCCCTTCAAGGCCACCCACCCTGAACACCTCCAGCTGAATCCCGGTGAGTGTCTCCACCGTGTCTGTAACACTCATCTGTCAGAGGTAGGAATGTCCAACATATGGAAGCTACTTGGACCAGGTCTAGCCTTATAAGAGATAAGAAATTGCAAAATAACTCATGATCAGTACAAGAATAGTGTATGAACAATACGCTTGCCACTACAGTGATGCTGCTGTATCATAGTCGTTGTGAGAAGGAAGGAACGTCACATTGAAGATAGACACAAACAATGTTTGTATAGTATATACGTCCTATGTCTGTATCGGTCAATGTCACAGTCGTCAGACGAGCACGTCTTGACAACAAAGACTCTGAGACTGGAAACTAGCGACTCCAACTGACTCTTGTGCAGGTCAAACGCTTCTTGGCGTGCATGATCAGAGGTCTGGGTGGGATGAGAGTGGGGACAAACAATATAGGGAATAAAGAAAGAAGAAGGAGTAGACAAACCAACTCAAAAAATCAAAAGTGGGGTTGATAAGAAACATGCATGAAACAGGTGAAGACACGGAGAGAGAAAGTGTTGGATGAGTGAGTGTTTCGTGTGACACTGTACATGTATGTGTGTCTGTTAAAGACAGGATTCGCTGTTGGCCATTCTCTGTTTACAATTGTGACAGGCGGCCATACCCAAAATTCCCTTCTGCCAAAACAGAAATCATCAACGTTGTTACATGCTATTTCACATGGACGTGTATGCTTGGATTAAGCGGAATTAATACAACAACAAACAATATGAAGAGAGTTTCAGTCTATAGGCAACACACCTCCGTCACATCCTGGAGATGTTTGAGGCGCACCATGTGCCTCTCGGTCAGGGATTGGAGTTCCCGGCTTAGGGCCTTGTGCTCAGACACTCCTCGTCTGTTCTTAATAGACGCCAGTCTGAAAAAAAGCAACATCAGTACCAATGTTCGCAATACACGGTCTACGAATAATTCACTCCAAAAGTCATATTGCTAGTCAGATAGTACACGAATAGAAGGAAACAATGCATACCTTTCGATAAATTGAATGGGTCCGTCCTGGGCAGTCAGATCACGTGACAAGGTTAGAAAGTGACGCAATTCACAACTCTCACCACAGACTGAAACGGAAAACACAAGAGTTGGAGGCAAATATGCAATGAAGTTTAACGATGACAGCGAACAATGATATCAAAATCGAACATAATTTAAAACATTCATTCAAGAGTATTATATAAAACGTCGGGCACTTACAGTCTTGACTGACACAATCCAACCTGGTTCGGACATCCCCACACCAACCAGCCGAGTAGCTTCTCGCCGTGAACTTGGGTGATGTCAGAACGGGATTACATCAAGTCAATCCAACCCCGAGTAGGGTTGAGTCTGCAAACAATCCATGTAATCTGGCATGAATAGAGTAAAATCGGGACGAGCAGTTGGCACACTACAGTCAACAAAGATTCGCAATCAGTAGAATGCTACTAGACACAGAACAGAACAGAACAGAACAGATATTTATTAATGAAAAAGACTTGGGCTTCTGCCCCTCGTCTAGCCTAACAGATACAACCAAAATTTATACTGACAATGGAGCTAGGACACGATTTCTTATCTACAAGTTCAAAAATGATAAAACAGAAATATGGGCGAAACCGCATTATCAGTGGTTCATATTGGGAAAGGGAGGTCACTCTAAATTCAAACGGGAGCTATCTCCGTTGTTTTCGTATTTGCGAGAAATGGCGTCAGTCATGCTGTACGTTGTTGGTCCAGCTATTAAATGCCCAGCTAATCCCTAAGGTAAAACGTATTCTTAATTAAATGTTTGAATGCATTATATATTTATGTTTCCATCCGTACATCTTCTTAGATTGGTTTAGTGCTGATAACCATTTTCTAAAATGTGGGCCCACATTGTTCCCGTCATATATGGTGATCGAAACAAGTGGGCCCACATTTGTATATAACCTAGCTTCGTTAGGTTGTTTAATTAGTTCTGATAATCAATTCCTAAATGTGGGCAGACGTTCTTCCGTCATATTGATTGCAACAGGAGGGGCCACATTTATTAATCGCGAAATTCTACTTAAATATTGATAATCATTTTCTCAAATGTTGGCCCACATTGTTCCCGTCATATATGGTGATCGAAACAAGTTGGCCCACATTTGTATATCGCCTAGTAGGAAGACGTTCTTCCGTCATAGTGATTGCAACAGGAGGGACCACATTTATAAATCGCTAAGCTTCATTAGCCTGGCTTACTTATAACCATTTTCTAAAATGTGGGCCCACATTGTTCCCGTCTTATAGTGATCGAAACAGGTGGGCCCACATTTGTAAATTGCTGGGCTTCATTGGGTTGACTGAGTCATTTAGACTAGTGGGCTCACATTTGCATGGGTATGTGACATTATATATTATTCTCATTTTGTAATATTGATGGGAAATATCTTTATAAATGCACACAAAGTCTTTAAAGTTTGAATAACGTCATCATAGCTGACCACACTAGTTTTGCAAAAATAGTTACAAAGCAAGAAACTTAGATCTACTTCAAATTAAATTTACAGAGGCAATACCACTCATTCTACTTTTTCCAGTATAACACATCAATCTGATGATAAGTTTGCCGCTGGAAATATGTCTACACTTGATGATCTCGGACATGACAGTCATGATACAAGCCTCAAACATTTCCGAGAACTTGTTCCATAAAAGGAATAACTCATGAATATTAATGACCTCGCGACCTAGTTTGGCGATGTTCGTAGAAGTGAGTTCTGCTGTATTGTCATCGCATTTGTACATTCTAATCCAATTAGAAAGCATAATTCTTATTTTAAATAGACAAAATAGCAGTTCGTAATGCGGGTTAGTTTACATTGTACATATTCTCAACAACAAGTGCGTTTAGTTTCGAATGTGGGCCCACTTCGAACTTTCGATTAGGCAAACGGAGTTAGCTCCCTTCTCAAACCACCGATAATGCGGTTTCGCCGAAATATGCAAACAATAAATAGTTACGGAAAGACGGACAGAGACACGGACGAACAGACGGGACAGAGCATAGGGGGGTCAAGACGAAACAGACGGACAAATATGCGTGTATGGTGCCAGGCGCCCAGACACACTTGTAAGAAGTCAGTTCGCTCTCCACACAAGGGTTAGCCTACACGGAAATGTAGTAATTTGGCATTGTGGCGTGTTCCGAGAGTGTCAGCGAGTTAATATATGCTTAATACTGCATGGGCGAATACAGCTTTTTTGAAAAGGGTGGGTGCACAATTAAGATCTATTTATTGTCTTTGGTGGTAATTTATACAGAAATAAAGATATTTTTCGAAATAAAAAGGGGGGTTGCGCACACACACACACACACACACACACACACACACACACACACCCTCTGTATCCGCCCGTGTACTGTATTATTACAGGAACGGAGTGGGGAAAGTTGGCTTGAGGAGTCGCTGAAATGCACCCGTACATGGATCTTCCCTGTGAAAGAAGGGACCAAAATGGCGTCCAAGCCTGACCTAGCAACGAGAACGAACGTTACATTTAACTTTGAAATTCCATCACACTACGTGCACAATGGAACCAAAGAAAGCTACTTACAGTTCCCCGACGTCCTTATGACCATGGAGATCGGGTAGCTTGATCTCCTTCATACTTGTAAGCGCAAAGTAACGTCAGTTTTTGCAGAGCAAGCTCAGAGTCGACCGAATCCACATCTGGTTGCTCTACATGCAGTGGCGGCGCTGCCACTGTGACGTCAGAGAACCGATTCCGTCACACATCGGCAAAGTCCGTCATTGCAGGCTGATCGGGACTCGTAAGCACAGGCGCCTTTCCACATCATGTACTATTGTACCGTTTAGACTTAGTCAACCAAACGGAAAATGTATATATAAATGTATGATATGTTTTTCTGATATATATACGTATTTTTCAATCGTGCATAACCATCGATTGTTTCACAATTTCTTACTTCTTTTAGGAATTTATCCTAAATTAAAAAATGACACAATCCCTATTGTGCAGGAAAAACAGGTAAAAATTCCATGATTATGTCTGTCAGGAGGGAAGCTAGAGACGCCAAAAGTCGCATTTGTTGCTATTTGTCATTTGGATTTGGACTTTTCGTTTGTGCGTGAATGTTCAGCAGTTTCTTAATCCCCTTTGGAATGTGACAAACACATTGCATTTCGTATTGTTAAAAAGACCACATCCTCTTGTATGGGGAAAAAACAAGTTAAAATTCCAAGATTCTTTCTGCAAGGAGGGAGGAGATAGACACGAAAAGTCGCATTTGTGGCTATTTGCCATTTTTCGTTTGTCCGTATTTCACAGCGAAAGTTCGACGAGTCTTACTCCCCTTTGAAATGTATCAAGCACACTACATTTGATGTCGTTGAAAAGACCGCATCCTCTTGGATGCGGGATTATAATTACTCCCGTGGAGGGATGCGGGAGATGCCAAAAGTCGCATGTCAAGGCTGTGTCCGATAAATACACGAATGTGCGTCATTAGTGCGCATTTTCGACGCCTTATTTTTATCATGGTTGGATATTGTCGACCATATTGCATTTGGTATTGCTTAAAATGCCACATCCTCAATATATGGGGCAATTACTATCAAAACTAAACGTCGCTTCTGCGAGGATGGGGATGGAAGATCTATGGGATTCATTGCGTAGCTATCTTATATTGCAAAATAAACATTTCAATCCTGATTGACTGTATGTATTGCGCTGTATAATCCTTATCCTTAACATTTCAGGTGACGACATCAACAGTATTGTAGAACAGGAAAACTTTGCAACAACTGGGCTTCTGCGCTGTTCCAGAAAATAAACGTTTTCTCGAACGTGTTGACACACCCTGAACACCATTGGCCATTTCCGCTGCGGTAACGAAAAGAGGTAAGGTACGCTGATTGCTAGTCTGTCTCCCAAATACTGGAGAATAAATTTAAAAGGAGTCCAACTCAAGTATAGTATGATTGGGCAAGTCTAGATTGCCTCAGCACTGAAATTAAGAATTGTTCTAGGTTCCTTTGGGATTTTATTATTTTTATTTTGAAGATATGTTTGTTTTTTAAATAGGATAACTTATTTTAAAATAAATATCTAGCCGAATGCGTCAGGGCGGTGTTGCTGTGAGTACAGTATCCTAGCTTTCGTAAAAAGAGTATCACCATGAAATGTAAAAATGAGAGCGGTGATTCAGTTGACAATACTTTGTAAACTACTGCACCAAATACAGGTCTTGTTGTATCTGTGCTTTTTCTCAAGTTAAAGTGAGAGAGTACACGGCGGGAACACAAGAAATGGGCTTCACATATTGTACCCATGTCGGAAATCGAACCCGGGTCTTCGGCGTGACGAGCAAACGCTTTAACCACTAGGCTACCCGACCGCCCCTATCAAGTTAAAGCAGGTGAATCTGTGACCCATGATATTCGCATTGTCTGCTATAGAATAGCTTCATTAAATCATCACCACAGTTGTACTTTAGTTCTGGTCAATTTGTTGATTAAACCTTTAAAGGAATCGCTGCATTAAGAGCTCACTTCTCACAGATTTCGTGAACACGTACAGTCCGAAAATGTCTCGGGTTCTTGCCGATGATGTTATAAAGTGCTAGAGGCGGTGAAAAGGGTTTTAGAGGATTTATTATATGTAAAAGATGTAGATGACATGAATATTTGATGTACAGCGGAGGGAGCATGATCGTCTCTCCTCGGCTTTGGTGTGACAGAAAGTGACATTTGAAAGTGTCCCTGTGATGCTACTGGACAGCCAACCAGGAATAAGGGCGAGAAATGAAGCGTACGTAAATGGTAATAGAGAAAAGTCGTGAATTCCCATCTATACAGGCTAGGGGCGGCGGTGGGGGTAGTCGAGCGGTTAAGGCGTTCGCGCGTCACGCCGAAGACCCGGATTCGATTCCCCACATGGGTTCAGCGTGTGAAGCCCATTTCTGGTGGCGGGGGCACGGGTGGCCCAGTCGTCTAAGGCGCCGTGATTCACTGTGCAGAGTTGCGTCCCTTGGGCACGCCAGAAACCTATGATTGTGGGTTCGAATCCCGGTTCGCCCCGATTATGTTTCTAGGTTTGTCAGCACCATACCCATGCCTGTGGGTTTCCCCGAAGTGGTAAACGTCTGACCTGCATCACTTCGGGCTTTCCTCCCACATTAAGCTGACACGCCATGATATACTGTTAAAAGCGGCGTTAAACCCAACTCACATTTCTGGTGCCCCCCTCCGTGATATTGCTTGAATATTACTAAAACGGTGTAAAACCATACTCACTCACTCATCCAGGCTAACACAGGTCCCAGTCCTTCTGTTGGTCCAAGTGTTATAACCGGCTGAGGCCGCTTCACCATACGCTGCTCGGAGTGACTGTAGTGCACGAGCTGCACGAAATTCACGTGATTGAAACGTGACATGACACACTTCTCCATGCAGTAGGAGAGCGGAAGGTTTGCAATTGACACTGGTGCTGTTTGTCTTTCTTTTAAACAACCAACCATATACTGACATAAATGGAGAGATAATATATATTCTTTCACGACCCTAACACCCTTGTGTACTGTGTAGCTTTCCGCACTCATGCAATGACACGCGTGAATTGCTTGTCATATATTGCTACGGTGCTTAATTAACGACTGCGCCGCATACATTAGAGTGACGCCCCACCCAAAGAGGAGCAGACTCGTATTTGTCAAATCACACCTGATTATGAAAACTAAATATATAGACTGACCTGATATTGCACAAGTGAGTGAGTATGATGTGAACACCGCTTTTAACAATATTCCAGCAATTTCAGGACGGGGGGCACCAGAAATGAGCTTCATACATTTTACCCATGTGGGGAATCGAACCCTGGCCTTCGGCTTGACGAGCTTCTGCTTTAACCACAAGGCTACCCCACCGCCCCACGACTGAATTATTTTGTTTGTTTGTTTGTTGTTTAACACCCCACTTAGCAATATTTCGGCTATATGACGGCAGTCTGTAAATAATCGAGTCTGGACCAGACGATCCAGTGATTTAGATCATGAGCATCGATCCACGCAGTTAGAATTGGTCTTTAGCAACCCTTGCTTGTCCTAAGAGGCGACTAGCGGGATGGGGTAGTCGGGCTCGCTGACTTGGTTCATGCATGTCATCGTATTCCAATTGCGTAGATCGATACTCATGATATCAATCACTGGAGGATTTACAGACCGCCCATATACAGTTGGAATATTGCGTTAAACAACAAACAAACAAAACTTGCATTTAATGACAGCACAAACGTCCTCGATACAATAAATCATATGACAATAGACACTATTTTTGACATTATTTATTTCAAAATAGATTCAATATAACAAAGTCGTGAGATCACAGGAAGTATAAGCAAAATTAATCACGCTGAAAATATGTATCGCTGAAGAAGGAAACAGCGAAATAGTAACACAATTGAAAACAAATTTAAACACGGAAGATATGTGAAGGCCTGGTTTTGTTAATCAGGGTCATTGCTTGATTCAGCGCGAATGGTTTGTTTGTTGTTTAAATCGAACACGGATCTTCGGTGTGATGAGAGAACGCTTTAACCACTAGGCTACCCCACCAGCCTACACAAACAATTACGTCATGCCAAGTACAATATTTAAAAAAGAACCCCACAAAGTTATATTTGTTTCTATGTTCACTGACTCGGGTTAATTGGTTAGCAAAAATATGTAAACCATAAAATAACAAACGTTTGGCCAAAATATACAGCTTCCAAACAGCAGTGTACATGAACTACAGACTATAATTTCTCAAGTATGAAATATTTTATTTGTGTTCTTTTCTTATCTTTAACGCCGCACTCAGCAATATTCCAGCTATATGACGGCGGTCTGTAAATAATCGTGTCTTGGGTGAGTTAGTGAGTGAGTTCATATTTAAAGTCACATCGGCAATATTTCAGCCATATCGTGACTTGAACAAGTTATAGCATATATAAAAAACTTTCGTCAAAGGACAGTACAACAACTAGCAATATATCACAGGTTATAACTTTAAAACTAGTTTTGGAACAATAAAATGATTGGATTATGACAGACGACACATCATAAAAACAGGCTATTGATCACCAACAACTAAAGTGCGGCCACCATACCAGGGACCATGGGGACTTACAGTACTTTGCTACCTGCATGGACCCCGGCAGGATTTACACCATCCCTTCAGTTATTGGTGATTATGGAGAAATTTAGCCACAATTAAAACAAACAATCATTCTACGATTAAAAACCTGGTATATATAAATTACTTTGAATGAAGTGGGCTTACGCACCCTCTCTGGGGGGACAATAATTTTACGCTACTTCAACCCCCATCAAGGGTACAACCACTAACAATCTAAGTTCATAATTATATATTAACAATTTATAAAATATATAACTTTCTACATCAAAATTTATAAATCTATTCAATTTCTTTTAAAAAAACAATAATTAAATGAGAGTTTATGTTAAAAAGATCCTTGAGTGATGAAACGTTGAAATATTTATCCCTTGTGATGGAAAATCAACACAATCAAGCAGGACATGCTTGACCGTGATTCCTTCAGGGATGCAGAATGGAGGATCCTCACCTTTTAAAATACATTCATGAGTATAACATGAATGGCCAATACGACATCGTCTTAAAATGACCTCTTCAAATCCTGACTGACAACCCAAGTAGGTATAACCGATATTTGCTTTTATTGCATGTAATATATTTATACCCACTTGGGTGTCCCACTTCTGCATTAGATCTCGATTGATATCATGAGCATCGATCCAGCGCGAATGAAGATAACGGTATGTGAAGTGAAGTTATGTAACAGAAATCAGTACTCGTCATTATCTAGACACAGATTGTGATCGGGGGGGGGGGGGCAAGTACACATTCAATATTATATACATAGATATATACAAATGTGGTTTGTGTATCAGTAATCGACGATACTATAAAATCATGTGCATTTCACACAACCAGAACATCTTAGATACAACGTCGATAATGGATAATGTAAATATTTGTAATATACAAATGTTAAGTAGTATATCGCGGCGGCATGTACATAGTCGGGCCAGATAAACCAGCATGAGCACCGATCCACGGTGTCACACCATCAGTGAAGTCCCACTGTAACTGTATTCTTATGTAAAATCAAATGACAAATGTTTTCTTCGTATTTCCGTGGCTCCAATTTGAAACCCTTGAAACCATGTTTGTAGCCCAGTGAGTGAACAACAAGGCTACAGCAGCGCTAATGAATCACAATAATTTTAAGAATGTACAGTACGCGAGCAACAGATATTTTACGCCCGTTTCCTAGGGTTCATGGAAAGTATATTTCTCAGGGCTGATATCCGTCGGCTTTATCCCTTAGTTGGTTGGTTGTTTTACGCCGCACTCGGCAAATTTTCCAGCTAAATGACGGCGGGTTGTAAATAATCGAGTCTGGACCAGAAAATCCAGTGATTGATATCATGAACATCGATCAACGCAATTGGGATCGATGACATGCATCAACCAAGTCAGCGAGCCTGACCACCCGATCCCGTTAGTCGCCTCTTACGACAAGCATAGTCGCCTTTTAAGCATGGGTTGCTGAAGATCTATTCTACCCCGGATCTTCGCGGGACCAATGTTTCTATTCAAAATGTTATTTGTTAATCATCACAGCAATACAAATAAGAAAAGGTATCGTCGTGGAAAGTCCAATAAAGGGTTTTGGTTGTTGTTGTTTTTCAAATATCATCAGTGGTACTAGTTTGTTTCGAACTGTCAAAAGGCGTTTGTGATGATGACGCCGCATCAGGTTTTCTCTTCAAACACTTGTTGAGGTGCAGGATTTCAAGGAAAGCGTTATGGAACTTCCGGTGAGTGGCGTAATAGACAAGCCAGTTGATTGACGGGTGCAGATGCGCAAAAACCACGATATACACGTGCGCCCCGAAATGAAACGTGTCACTTGCGTCGAGGACAATGATGAGCGCGTAGGGGATCCAGCACACGCTGAACACGACATAGATGATGAATAGTGTTCTGGCCAGTCGAAAACTGGGAGGTTTGTTCGTGTTGGTTTTCGACCTGTCGGCACGTTTTTGCTTCACGCGCTTTCTCACGGCACGCACGTGCAGGTACATGCGCAGATAGCAGATTCCGGTGACGGTGATTGGTATCCACACCAGCACGATGGAGAATACCACGGTGTAGGGATACGTCGCCATCCGCGCCCAGATGCACTCGAGGCTCTTGTGGTCGAAGTTGTGGTCGCCAATGTCGGCGAAGTTGAGCAAGACGAGACAGAGACCCACGCAGTAGAAGCTCATGCAGAAGATGACGCAGTTGCGAGCCTTGAAGATGGTTCTGTAGTATTTGCTGTGGACGATGAAGACGTATCTGTTGCAGCTCATGGCGGCGATGGTCATGAGAGACGCCACACACGACATCGTGCACAACGAGCCTATGGCACGACACAGTCCTGGGATACGGTCGAAGAAATCGGAACCCTCCAGTTTGGCTGCAATAAAAGCAATGAAGTTATATAAAATGTATATTAAAAACTTGAATGATGTTATTCTTTGAATTTGTGGAGATGTATCGGAATTTAATGGACATATATTTTAAAAGCGGCTGTAAAACAGAAACATTATGCAGGATCAACGTTTTTGTTATAGTTGGTTGGTTGGTTGTTTAACGCCGCACTCAGCAATATTCCAGCTCTATGGCGGCGGTCTGTAAATAATCGAGTCTGGACTAGACAATCCAGTGATTGACATCACGAGCATCGATCCACGCAATTGGGATCGATGACATGTGTCAACCAAGTCAACACACCCTATCCCGTTAGTCGCCTCTTACAGCAAGTATGGGTTGCTGAAGACCTATTCTACCCTGGATCTTCACTGGCCTTTCAGCTTAGTAACGTTTTCATAACGTTTGTAATGTTTTAGTCAAATTAATTGTTCAAGGAAAAGGGAAAAACAAGGACTGGAGTTAATATCCTGTGTTTGAGGGGGACATACAGGTTAAACTCCGGCATGGTATCTCAGTGGGCTGCCACAATGACACCGCAAGTCCGTACAGAAACAATGACCACACCAACACGTGACTATCTAAGTACAACGATCTGTTCCATGAAGGAAGACCCCATATCACCTTACCTCAGCAAGACAAACAGTCAATCCGCTATCAATGGGGATATTTGTGTTTTATTCCGTATGTTATTCTATAACGTGAACGTACGCTTAAGTCGGGGGGCCGGGGCATGAAACAATGCTCCATGTATTTGGTGGGGAATGAGACAGATGTTGCGTAAAGTGGATAAATCGGCAAAATATGATACAGTCCTTAGACCAATCTCCCAGCCCGCCCCTCCACACCTTACTAAATTACCAGTCCGTTCGGCAGCTGTTCGTTAAAAAAAAGATATATTTGCTCATGTAAATACCACTTGTGACGTCATCCTACAATGTATTTTAAACAATGTGTGTTGTTGGAGATATGAATACATCCTGATTCCCAAACACACTACATAAAAATGAGCTAACCCATTCCAAAGTATGCCCGAGGCAAACTTGTTCCCCCAAAATGTTGCCTTTATAACCCGAGTCACTAAAGTGCACGTGCTCAAGGAATTCATTTCACGAATGTCACGTGCACCACGTGCAGCCGGCGTACCGCACCTGTGACCTTAAACCTCTTACTTTCACATGTTATTATTATTATTGTTCGACATATGTAAAAACTATCTAATCTATTTAGGGTTGATCTATTTAGGGTTTGGCAACACAATATATATTCAAAAAATTTTTTAGAAAATGCTGTACGTGTATCAACATATGTTCTACCTGTTTTATTCATATGACAAACCGGGAAATCATCTAACGTTGATTACAAGATAAACATTGCCTTTTGAACAGGAACAAGATACTTATTAAATCATTTCGACATAGAAACAGCTGTTTACATAAACATATGACATGTTATATGTGTAACATTAATTCCTGAAACGAACGTGAAGATCGGGTAGCGTTGTCGTGTAAGGTGCCGCAGTCACTGTACAGAGTTGCGTCCCTTTGGGACGCAAGAAACCAAGGATCGTGGGTCCCGTTAATGTTTCTAGGTTTGTAAGCACCATTCCTTTTTTGGTTGGCTTCACCAAAGTGGTAAAGGTCTACGTACACATGGTGATGTGGAATATATATGAATACAGTTAGTATTACACATGTAATTTAATTAGAGCACTGAGCCCGCCGTTTTTAACCTGCTCAACAGATTAGCTAGATATGTTGGTAGACACTTTGTTCCTTAATTTCCATATGCTGGTCATGAATCTGATAAAGTCTATTTCATTATGGTATGTTTATATGAAACTTGTTATATATGCATTTCTCTATATTTCTTTTTCATGTGCATTATTTGCACGCCATTCATCTTGCACACCCTTACAAATATACTACTCAAAGTCTGCAAAGGATCAAGTTTTGATAATAGCAAATAATCCTCCAATAATAATAAAAAGATTGAAATATCCCGGAACACAAGTGGTTAACCCCTACAGGACCTAAATTTCATGATGAACGGACAGAGGCATGCAGTCATGTGTTTTAAAACATATGGATCGTAACATACTCATAGCACATCATTATCAGAGACAGTCTTTGAAGGTACTTATGCCCACTCAGCGTCAAAGACGTCGTTTGAAAACCGAAGAATTAGGCAGTCGCCCAGGCATGCTTGACGCTAGGTCAACACAACGTTACTTGGAAACGTCTTTGGTGTAGGCAAAGTGTGATCAGCAGGGCATGGAATCTATACCAGACGTTTGGATCCACTACCCAGCGACATGCAGGTGGTCGACAGTGTTCCAGCACACAGCAGGTAGATAACTTTCTCCTGATTGCAGCAGACCCATGAAGATCCGGGGTAGAATGGGTCTTCAGCAGCCCATGCTTGCCGTAAAAGGCTAATATCCTTCTCGTAAGAGGCGCCTAACGGGATCGGGTGGTCAGGCTCGCCGACTTGGTTCAAGCATGTCATCGATCCCAATTGCGTGGATCGATGTTCATGATATAAATCACTGGATTGTCTGGTCCAGACTCGTTTATTTACAGACCGCCGGCATATAGCTGAAATATTGCTGAGTGCGTCGTAAAACAACAAACAAAAACCTGATTGCAACAAGACGTGATCACTTCGTGACTGCCACCACACTCAGAAATGACCTGCTGAACGCCAAATGCGTGAACGTTTCTACTCAGACAGTGCGTAATCGTCTTCGTGAGGCTTGTATTTGAACACGGAGGGCATACATTCGCATCCCACTGACCTGACATTAGAGGCACGCACGATGTTTGGGTTGGGCTGAAGATCAAGATGATTTCAAGATTCCAACGTAACCGAAAATGGGCGATTATGAGTGGGCTCAATCATGATTTGGAGTGGGATCAGTAGGGCTGGAAGAACCGATCCCCATGTCCTACATTGGGGCACGATGACAGGTGTGTGCTACAGGGATGGCATTCTTATTCTGGGTGTGTACGTGAGACCCTATGCTGGATCAATCGGACCGGACTTCATCCTCACGGACGATAACGCACGACCTCATCGTGTCCCGTCGTTGATGTCAACTTGTCCATTGTCCGCATAGAGTAGCCAGCCCGGTCACCAGATCTCAACCCTGTCGAACACATGTGGAACGAGCTGCAGGTCGCCCCGGCAACTTTTCTGGAACTCGGCAATTTTCTTTCTAAAGAGTGGAACAATCTTCCCTTGGCAACCATCCAGACACAGTGCCAGGCGGTGATCGCATTACACGCTACTGAGAGCGTTTTGCCCAGGGCTCCAGATAAGCTTTTGGTGTTGTGTGTATTTTACCCATGCATTTTAAAATCATTGGGTATCAGTAATTCTATCTGGGTATTCAAATTTCTGTTACCCACTATTTTTTATACATGTGGGTATTTAAGTTAAACATTGAAAAACACTATTCATCTAGTCCCTGCAAACTGGTTTCGTGTGGGTTCGAGAGCTTTATAGGACTCAAAAATACCACGATACTTCCACAAGAAAGTGTGATGGCAAATGATCACGATGTAACTGTCATCGTGGAGTTTGGCAAGGTTGACGGAATGCCCGGTTATAATTTCAAAATAAGTTGCTGATTTGCTAATCGTATACGCAGGATTACTTCACAATATTTTGATGATACGCACAAGTATTATATTTGTAGCGTATCTGTAATTTCCGTTGCGTATTTGATACGCTTGGATTTTATTTTACTGCATTTCTGATGCGTATTTTACGCAGATACGCAGCTTATCTGGAGCTCTGAGTTTTGGTTTTGTTCCTTTTTACAATGAATTATTTGACGTTTCAGTTTTTGTCAGATTCATTTTGACGGGTCATCTGACTGGTTATTGGTCCCATGTTGTTTGTTGGCATTGTGTGGCACATGACAACATATTTGTGATCATTAATCATGTCTTCACGCAATATTGTCTTCGGTTATGTCAACAGATGCACACAATTTGCAGGCCACTTCACTTCAAAATTCGTTAAAAGATGGTTCACTGAGATAAGTACCGTCCTGTGTGAGTTTCCGCGTCATAAATATCATATTTTAGAAATTATATATCACGATCCTTTGGCAAGCATAATACATATTTCTTTATTCCTAATATTTGACATTTACGATACGGAAAATCACGAGGGTAATAATCTCTTTATCATAAAATGTCATTCTTGAAATATTTGACGTTTAAGACGAAATTTCACTCATGCAAGTAAAATTTAGAAACCGTGTATGTTGTGTTTATTTTATTTTTTTGCTGACGATTTGGGTTAGCATAGGTATTCAGCATCCATGTTTGCCGTGAGAGGTCTCTAACAAGAGAAAGTATGCAATCCAGGGATACACATTTGAAAAAGCAAACAAACACCTGTGTATAATATTTGTCACCATGAAATCATCAAATCAATATTTGAACGATTTACATTTATTAAGAATTGCCTTTGTCAAGAACACGTGTTCGGGGTCATGAATATGCAGATTTTGAAAGAGAAACAGCGTGTCACTCATTTTGTGAACTTGTTATTCAAATGACATAGAAATCATTTGACAATCGACACCCCCACCCCCACCCCCCACCCCTCAACAGGGCTGATGATGAAGAACTAATGAACTAATATGAAGAAAAGACCTGGCTTACCTACGATACTCATGGGGTCTGCCAAGGTCGTGACGTACATATCTGAGCAGGCCAAGTTGACGATGAAGATGGATTCCACGTTGTGCAGGGACTTTCTTGTTGCCACCGCTACAAGAATCAGAACGTTGCCAAACGTTCCCATCAACGTTGCTAGTCCAAGAATTATGAGAATTGGTATCGCCATCTCAGTTTCTTCGTTGAGAAATTCATGGCGACCAAATTTCAAAATACTAGCGTTCACAGAATCTTCAGAACTCATTGTTCTCCAAGGTCCTAGAATTTATAATGTCAGCTTTAGTTGATCAAAATCTTCAATACGCCGTCCCTCGTATTCAGTACGCTAGGTTACGCCAACCGTGGCTTCAAGGAAACTGCATTAGTGACGACGGAAAAAACGACGCCCTCAACGCGGAATGTGTTTATGAGTTGACGCGTGGCCCTAAGTTGACAATTAAATAAGACCAGTTCAATCTAATCGTACTTTTGTACCAACGAGGAAAACTCTCTGCTGGTGTCATAGATATCTTTACAAATACGAGGCGGCTGGTGAACTGAATCACCCGGATGTAACCGGAAGTGACATTTCCACTATATGAGGAGCAGGCATGTGATATACGGAACACGTGATTCGGAAATTGAAAGTACCGGAAGTTATTGACACGTCATCCCATTTAATATGTCACAGTTGTGATCAAGGGTTAAACGTAGCGTGCGTGTGTGCGTGCGTGCGCGTGCGCGTGCGTGCGTGCGTGTACTGGTCAGGACTTAAGCCGGTTTTATAGTGTTAGCCAACTGAGACAACATACACGGATACCCTACACAGACACTGTATAGTGACTCCGACCCGACCAGTCCTTATTTTATCTCCTTGCTTCCGAGCGCCAGGCTGGGTAACAACAAGTACCATAATTTAACGTCTTTTGGTGTCACGCGGGCAGGGGATCAAATTACCGACCCCCCGCTCCCATGGCAGACGCTCTATCCACTACGCTATGGAGACTGTCGGAAAATCATTTAACCCTCCTGACAGCTAAAGTTTGTTTGTTTATTTGTTGTTTAACGCCGCACTCGAGTCTAGACCAGACAATCCAATAAACATTGTTGCCTGTGTTTAGAAGTTCTGAAGCCTGTAAGACAAATACGTAGATTGGACGGCAATAACAGTGAGTATGGCTCCAATGAATCAAAATCGGAAAATCATTTAACCCTCCTGACAGCTAAAGTTTGTTTGTTTATTAATTTGTTGTTCAGCACCCAGCAATATTCCAGCCATATGGCGGCGGTCTGTAAATAATCGAGTCTGGAGCAGACAATCCAGTGATTGACATGATTTGGCAATTGGGATACTATGACAACGAGGCTGAGCACCCGATCCCGTCAGTCTCCTATTACGGCAAGCATGGGTTGCTGAGGACCTATTCTGACCCTGATCTTTACGGGTCGACAGCTAAATGATAAAATCTATTGTTTCCCTATATAAGGAAGCCATAAGACCTAACATGACTCGCTACAGCGGCGCCATACCGCTTGTAACAAGTGGAAAGTTTATAGTTAAAAATTGGCGATGTCCGTTTTATTCAGATGAAACGAATAGCGTTATAGGAGCTTGGGAAAATATGCATGGGAATCAAAATATATTTTTTATTCAAAGGATTTATTTATTTTGAACTATCTGTAAAATAGTTTAACACAAAAACCTCGCACGCACGAGGCGATAATGGTCCATAACAATGCACGTGTGGCACACTTACAATCTATCTACTTAATGTAGGTCAGCAGGCGGGTTGCTATGTGTGTCACCGAGAAATAAACAAAACATGTTTACCCTACATTTCCATGTAAACGCGACGTAAGTGAGTGCGTTTAGTTTTACGTCGCTTTTAGCAATACTCCAGCAATATCACGGCGGGGGACACTCTGGTAAATTGGTAGTCCAATGAAGCAGGTTTGGTGTCCCTAAAACGTAATGATGTACATCGACCTAGCAGTAATGGATAGCCTTTAATAGACGATAGGTCAGTTTCACAAAGGGCACGACTTGCAACGTCTACACCTTGTGTGAGGGGAACCCAGCTTCCCAGTCTCTAAGACACCGCAATTCGCTGTGCATAGTTGCGTCCCTTGGACACACCAGAAACATATGATTGTGGGTTCGAATCCGGGTTCTCCCGGAAAATGTTTCAAGGTATGTCAGCACCGCACGTTAAACGTCTGAGACCTACACTACTTCAGGCTTTCCACCCACATTAAGCTGACAGTGACAGGCCATGGTATAACTGGAATACTGTTTAAAGCGGCGTTCAACCCAACTCACTCACTGGACATGGTCTGGAAATGGGCAACAGGGACCCGTTCGTGCACCTGTGAACATCCGGGGTAGAACAGGTCTTCAGCAACCCATGCTTGCCGTAAGTCGCAACTATGCTTGTCGTAAGAGGCGACTAACGGGATCGGGTGGTCAGGCTCGCTGACTTGGTTGATGCATGTCATCGTGTCCCAAATGCGTAGATCGATGCTTATGATGTCAATCACTGGATTGTCTGGTCCAGACTCGATTACTTACAGATCGCTGTTATATAGCTGGAATATTGCTGAGTGCCGGGCGAAACAACAAACAAACAAACAATAAAGCAATGATGGGGTCGGTACGGTGGGATCACAATTTCTTTCTTTGGGCCCGATCATTTAATAAAAATAATTTGTATAAAAAATAATAATATATAATTGTTTGATGGACATATCGGATGTCATAAAACAGATGCGTTCTGTCTAACAATTCATTTTAATCGATTCCTCCTTTAGCAGAAAACAATTGCGTGTTATCCAGAAGTAACAGGAAACCTATCCTGTCGCTAACCATTCCCAGTCCTTTAATAATGAAGCAAATCCTCGTTTGTAATTACCAACAAATTGGCTTAATGGTCCTCTCTTGACACAGACTCGGAAATAAAGTGTCAATTACCAAACATAAAATGACATAACTACAATTGTGTTTGCGACAATAGACACCTTACACCCCTCATACTAATATATATGTCAGCCAAGCCCCTGCTTTGGGTCACAGTTCTCGGAACTGTGTAAATATAACTCGTTACCAGGAAACCAAATGGTTTGATGCCTTGTAAATAAAGTGGCTCAAATATCGTGCTCAGTGACACTGAAGAAGACAGGGCATCCGGAAGTCTTCCTTGTGCACATGTGACCTTTGATCTCTGCTAACTGTGGCTGACCTAACTACAAAGATTGGAAAGTAAATCGTCGGCGAGGAAGTAAATCACTCATTATATACGCAGGTTATTTGACAACCGTGAAACATGCAGGAAGGAAAATTCACGATACCTATTGTACTATTGTATAATACAGTTCATAATATCTCCACCCAATCTGCTTATTGTGTTACGGGTTGTTAGTATAGTGACTACCCTACACAGACACTGTATAGTGACTCCGACCCGACCAGTCCTTGTTTTATCTCCTTGCTTCCGAGCGCCAGGCCGGGTAACAACAAGTACCATAGTTTAACGTCTTTTGGTGTGACGCGGGCAGGGGATCAAATTACCGACCCCCCGCTCCTGGCAGAGGCTCTATCCACTACGCTATGGAGACTGTCGGAAAATCATTTAACCCTCCTGACAGCTAAAGTTTGTTTGTTTATTTGTTGTTTAACGCCGCACTCGAGTCTAGACCAGACAATCCAATAAACATTGTTGCCTGTGTTTAGAAGTTCTGAAGCCTGTAAGACAAATACGTAGATTGGACGGCAATAACAGTGAGTATGGCTCCAATGCATCAATATTTACAAACATATTATAACAATCGCCTTTTGATGAATTTGCTTTGAAATAATGTGATAATGAACTGATCAATCAACAGATAATATTACTTATTTGTTTGTCCAGTGATTGACTTCATGAGCATCGATCCACGCCATCGGGATACGATGACATGCATCAACCAAGTCAGCGAGCCTGACAATAAGATCCCGTTAGTCGCCTTTTACGACAAGCATAGTCACCTTTTACGGCAAGCATGGGTTGCTGAAGACCTATTTTACCCCGGATCGAGTTATTGTACGGAATCGAATCCTACACTTATCTCAACTGTCCAACTTGTTGCGATGGAAACACAAAGAAAAGTAAAAAGATGAATTGAATGGCTAAAGGTGCAAGTTAAACACTTGACTCATTTGCATAAACAGTTGCAAGTAATAGTGAACGGCGTGAACGGCCCGGAAGCGAACCCAAACCTTATTACAAACTAAATTCAACCTCTTCCCGGGAAACACTAAAAGTATATATTTTAGAATCAGTTCAGTGTGTGCCTGGCATGTATGCGAACTTTCGTGAAGAGATGCTGTGCTGTTTATGAATAATGATTCGGACACGAAACCTAAGTGACAGATGTTCGATATCCCCCACAAAAATGTGTTTGAGCGGCGGATCATAAGAAAATCCTAACTATAAAAAACCCATCACCTCCATATGATTCAGAATTGACTTCAATATCTGTTACGGTCAAGGAGTTAGTGAATGAGTGTGGTTTTACGCCGCTTTTAGCAATATTCCAGCAATATCACGGCGGGGGACACCAGAAATGGGCTTCACACATTGTACCCACGTGGGTAATCGAACCCGGGTCTTCGGCGTGACGAGCGAACGCTTTAACCACTAGGCTACCCGACCGCCCCTCGTTCAAGGAAGTATAACGTTAAGGCCGGGTATGTATAATATGTAAATCCGCGTGGCATACACGTTTCTACATTTATTACTTCACAAACGCAAAAACGTGTTGAAATCAATTTTATATATTAATAAATAAATACGTCAACAATACTAACTTCACAGGCTGTTTATTTAATCACAAACACACACAAAACTCTGGACAACAATACGTAATCAACAACATCGTTCAGCGCAACAATGCAATATAGATATTAAAAACAAAATGTCAATGCAGGAGAACAACCAGTCTTAATTTTCCGCTGAAACAGATTCCGGAAAGGGCAAAATGGGTGTGAAAAGTATGTGCATGGACCACTTGGAGACCAAGGACCACTGAAACTCAATGATGACACCGGGTGTTCGCGAAAAGGGTAAGCATGCCCTGCCTGCCCTACTGGTAGCTTCCGCCATTCACATAAATTGCATAAAAAAATAAGTAATTATTGCCGTGCGCTTCACAGCAGCACTCCTGCCATGCGACGGCGGCCTGTAAACAATCAGGTGATCGATGAACCAGAAAATCCAGTTCATGATAGGGCATTTATTGAAACTAAAAAAACCCGATATATTAATTTTGAATAACCACTACTGTGTACACCTTCCTAAAAGTTAAGAAAAACGTGAAAGTAATATCTTCTTTTTGCAACACAGTTGCGGGCAGCTTTAAAGTCCTGGCCCAAATATGTCTTGCGAATTTGACTCAGTGTTGATGAATGCTACTGATCTTATGAAACTCGGGGACTTCAGTCCACCAGCAGAAACATCGACCAAGTTCAAGTAAATATATAATGTCCACTGAGAAAAATGCCCAGTGAATTCTACTAACTTAATTAGTAACAGCGGCCAGATGGTTACTCAACATCGAATTTAAGATCCTGCCTGGTTGACTGCACGAGACAACATTTGTTGTTTGTATGATATTTTGTTTAACGCCGCACTCAGCAATATTCCAGCTATATGACGGCGGTCTGTGAATAATCAAGTCTGGACCAGACAATCCAGTGATTGACATCATGAGCATCGATCCACGCAATTTGGATACGATGACATGCATCAACCAGGCCAGCGAACCTTACCACCCGATCCGTTAGTCGCCTTTTACGACAAGCAGAGTCGCTTTTTACAGCAAGCATGGGTTGCTGAAGACCTATTCTACTCCGGATCTTCAAGGGTCTGCACTTTGTAATTCTGAGATATAGGTAGTGTGCAGTGTGTAAATTCTGGTATGGTAAAAAGGCATGGTTTTATCACTGATTAAATTAGAAGAATTCATTACTTAAATTTAGATCTTTGAAAGATGGATTGTAATCTCTACTAACTGATAAGTGCATTTTACTAATCTACGATAGGCTGCCTACTTGTCTAATTAGTAAACATTTACTAACTGGTAAGTAAAAAACTACCAATGTGTTAGCGCCTAACTAACTTTACTAACTAGTTTAGTTAGTGTCAAACCAAGAGAATAACGAGAAAAGCTAGGCCACACACCCCTCCCATTATATTGTCAGACAATCAGGAAACACAAGTGCGTCAATGGACATGGCGTAATGTGTTTTCGGTTTATGAATACAAACGAAAAATGGTTTTTAATGATTGCTGGGTTAGCCAATCAAATGCCACGGAATCACTTGCCCTATATTTATTTTAAAGTTCATTTGATAGAGACTTGTAGTACAAACCCTTGTGATGAAACGTTCACCGTCAAACATATATAATTGCTTGACTGTGTGGTTGCAATCACAAGAGATTCACAGTATCAAAGCCTAAATCTGACAGATCTTTTTTCCCGTGTCAGCCGGCATCTCATTATCAGCTAATTGAAAGAAATTGCTCTGTATAATAAATTTTAAATATGTATGTGGATAATTAAATGCTTGTTTTTAAATTTGGTGTGATGCTATTATCAACTGACATTATTAAAGGCTCTGTCTAGGAGGTTAACGAAGCGTAAAATTATTGTCCCCCTGTGTGACGCGTAATTCTATCATAATGATGTAACTATCACCAACCAGTGTTTTGTAAGCGAACTCATTGCTGAATATTTTTTAATATTGGCTAGTATTGTGCACATCCACCAGCAGCTAAATTGATGACGTAATTCCTGCTGGGGTATCATGCAGGAAGCCGAGGTACTGTAAGTCCCCATGATCCCCAGCGAGGTGGCCTAGCTTTGTTTACTGGTGGCCTATAGCCCTTGTTTTAAAACTGTATACATGATATTGTTATGCTCAAATATGTTTCATAAATTATTTTTAAATATAACTTTGCATTAATGACTCAATTGTAAATATATTAGCTTGGTCTCTTCGCTATATAGCTGAAATAATGCCGATGCGACGTTAAATTTTAACTCACTCACTCAGAAAAAATTATTTTGAACGGATTTATTGAATATCTAACTGTTTATCGTAATAAAATAAAAAAATTGCTGAGAGTAAAGCATGATAACAAGAACCTGATCGACGTCCGAGGCGTATGATACCGTCACATCTCCGTGGTGATCGTTGCAATTGACTTGTTATTTACAACATGGCGGGGCTTCCTCAGAAGAAGCCCCCTCACCGCGTTTCTGAATCGTTTGTTGGTGCCGTAAAAGACGAAGAAGTTCAGTGAAGGATGTATGTGGGCGAACGTCGACAACAAGATGCTGATGCCGGGGTCAACGCCGCCGTGCCTGTCGGCTAGAAACAGTACAGAGATCGGGAACCAACAGATGACGAACACGGAGAAGATGATGAAGGCTGTTTTCGCCAACTGGACGGAATCTCCTTGAGTCTTGCGTTTTCTGTTCGACTTGAAGGTGTTCGTGACGGCGAGGATGCGTTGTCGTGACTTCGTAACACGATGATACAGATTTCCATACGAGAGTAACGTCGCCATCATCGGTGTCCATAAACACACGACGACGAAGAACACCATGAAGCTGCCTGTGGAGGGACCCTGAACGAGGAGGCACATGTGGGTCTTGTTGTTGAAGCCGTGACGTCCAAATCCGAAAAACGTCATCGAGACGACAGTAATCGCCCAGCCGTAGATGCACGTCAAGGTGATAGTCTGGACCCTCTTACCCACGAAGCCATGACTGTGACACACGATGAGGTAGCGGTTGACGCCGATGGTTGCTATGGTGAGAAGGGAGACAACGCAGGACATGGTGCAGATGGTTCCGATGATGACACACAGAGGCTGAACAAGGGAGAAGAAGTTCCATCCCAGAGTTTTGGCTGAAGTGATGAAAATGAAAAATAAGTTTATTTCAGTGAGTGAGTTGTGTTTAACAGCGCTCTTAAAGGTGATATGGGTCTAGGCCAATTACCCCTAGGTCATTTCCCCACTAGGTCAATTCTTTTGGTGGACTTTCTGTAGACTCTCGTCTTGGGAGAGTTGACGGCGAGAAATTGCGCTGATACTAGGTATTATAAACTCAAGGACAAAAGAAACGTCACCTCGTATATTTACAAAGCCACAAAATAACAAAGCTATATCTTTTAACGGTGATAGTTGTATTTTAAAACAGGGAACTTTTACAACATGTTTGCATAAACACTGAAAAATCCAGCGGAAGAAATTCATTTCATTTTATGTTTGGCGAAGAAGGTTAACTGTCCAATATTCGATCACCAAAAAATGTTTGAAAAAGCAACTATCCAGACAATATCGAATGTATCCTCCCCTAGCTTCGATGCAGGCTCTGACACGGCACCGAGCAGAGAAAGTCAGTCATCTAATGGCGAGCACAGGGATCAGACGCCATTCTGCCTGCAATGCCTGTGCTCACGCCACTCTTGTCTCTGGGCGTGGCTGGCGTTGCCTAATCTGTCGTCCCAGGTGGTCCCACAGATGTTCTATTGGAGGCATGTCAGGAGATCTTGCCGCCCAAGGAAGAAGGTACACGTTGTTGTCGGTGAAAAATGCTCTGGTAATGCGGACTGTACGAGGCGTGGCGTTATCTTGCTGGAATAACGTTTGCGGGTGACGTTGAAGAAATGACAGTACAACTGGCGTTAACACTTCATTGATGTACCGTGCAGCGGTAAGATTGCCATCAATAGCAACCAGATCCGTCTTCATGTTTCCACAAATACCACCCCAGACCATCACACTGCTACCACCGTGTGGTTCAATTTCGTGCACGCAACAAAGTGCCGTCCGTTCCCCTGGCCGCCGATAAATACGCACACTACCATCTGCTTTGAAGAGTTGGAACCTGCTTTCACCGCTAAACAATACTCTGCGCCAATTTCCCTGCTGCCACAGCTCGACATTCACCGCCCACCTCATTCTCTGACGTTGATGTTCACGCGTTAACGTCATGCCCTTGAACGTACGTTAGGCTCTCAGACCACACTGACGAAGTCGTCTGGTCACATTTTTTTTTCTGATGGGATGACCAAGAGCATGTCGTCCCGATGACGTCACTGTGAGGTATCTGTTCCTAAGACGAAGCAGCCGTCAATGGCGGTCTTCCTGAGAGTTGGTAATTCTTGGTCTACCGCTCCAAGCCCTGTCTGCTGTTCCCCCTGTCTGCCTAAACCGGCAGACTAATTTCAGTATCGTCCTTCTCGAACGACCCATTACCCCAGCAACATGGGCCTGAGTTGCCTCCATATCCAACATTCCCATTGCCCTTTCTCTCAGTTCCACTGTTGATCGAGGCATGACCACTTTTGGCAACTGAATCTATATTAAAACGTATTTTGATATTGGATGAAAATATATTGAAAAAGATATTTGAGGTGACGTTTCTTTTGACCTTGAGTTTACTACCGTGTATCAGTTTGATATAAGTGTGGAGCGTTGGGGAGTGTGTGTGTGTGTGTGTGTGTGTGTGTGTGTGTGTGTGTGTGTCTCAAGTTATCCTTATTAATATATATCCTAAATTTAAACCTATTATTCTTTATTGTTGTTTATTATTGGTTATTTTCGGATCTTTAAGAAATATTACATTAGAGTGTAAAACGCAAATAAGTATATTCTGTTTTTATGCAGCGTGTTTTAAAACCATGATGCCCCATAAAGTTTGTTTAACCATTACCGTTGTGTGGTACATTTCATTTTAGTAAACATTTGTTTTTTAATAATGTAAACATATGTTATAATATACATGCAATCGTTTCATCTTAAAGTGTAAATCGTTTTGGTACGACACAGGGGAATGTGTCATTGTTTACAATAAAATGTATCACGCAATGACAAGGGTTAAAAACATCTTATCAAATAAACTGTTTTGAAATAAACCTTACCCCATCCCTTAAATTCCTCTGAAATTAATTCCAAGGCTTGTTATTTGATGGAATAATTTGAAACCTCGAATATTTGATAAGAATTACTACATGTTATTGCTTTATCAAATACTATTTAATACCCGCAGCTCTGCAATATTTGATAACTCAAATTTCGAATTGAATAAATTCAAATTACAATGGACATATTTCAAAGCTACCTACCAACAATACTCATGGGGTCTGCGATGGCAGTTACAAACATATCCGAGAGCAATAGGTTGGCAAATAGTACGATCTCCGCCGACTGGAACGGCCTGTATTTCACCAACGTCACCAGCGTCATGACGTTTCCTGTAGTGCCCACAACACCGGCAACACCAAACACCACACACGAGAATATTAGCAGTCCTGTTACATGACTAGACGGCGTTAAAGACGCGTTGGTAGTGACGTTCATTGTGACTACCAGCGTTAGATTTAGGAATAATCCGAGATAAACGCTTCAGCGGTAACGTCTATTTAAACTTCAAGGTCACGTTACAAATATGTTAACCAGAACCACATCTATGAGACAAAAATCATTGAAATGCCCTAATATATCGCTGTTGAAGCAAAACGTCACATATGCCAGCGCTGGTATCCATGTTTAAAAGACGTTCAGTGCGATCCCAAGAAAGCCCCTTGATGAAACACCATCAACTTTTTGCGTCCTTGCGAAACTCAGTCCCCAGAAAGTTACGTCACTGCTTTTGAAAACCATACATCACGGAATTAAACTTTAAACCAAACTTCCTGTTCAATTGGAATCGGAAATGCTTCTGTGCTGGAGAAACAACGTCTTCCACGCGCGAATACTGTACAGAGAACGAATGTTAAAAAACAGTTCCAGAACAGCAGTGTAAAGTCAGTCTGTAAGCTCCAATCACGTGTTGTAATGTGTTTTGTCCAAGGGGATTAACAACTAACTCGAAAGTGTAAATATAAACTACAAAACCCTTTCCATACTCATAAGAAATCTCTTCTAAAAGCAGAGTCGATTGTACAATTAATTCTACAAGCAATGTAAGGCACAAAGCGCTGTCTGACAAGCTTACCGGTGTTTTATGAAATCCCGAGTCTCTGCACTGATTGCAATAGCTTACACATAATCCGGTCGTCCTATCAATAGAAATCGATGTCTATGTTTAGTCACTTTTATACCTAAAAACATTTCCGAAATTGCATTTGACGACCAGTGAGTATTCTCCCGTAGGTTTCCATGACGACATGCGTGATATACACAATCAGATGGAGATTTGTCTGGGAAACAAAGTTCACAACTTTTTGTCAGGAAACTTGTATTTGGACCTATTATAATCACATCGTGTAATCCCTGACAGAAAACAGATAAAACACAACTCGTCACAGCGAGATGGGAAATATTCACAATCTTGCCACGCATCTATGGCTTCCAGGGCAGGAATCAAATGTGTTGTGACGGTTGCGGCAATACCGGAAGAAAGTGAATAATTTCAGGCATCACGGCCCAGATGATCATTAAAAGCATTGCCGTTGTAACTTATCTATGTCTTTCCACAAAATAGCTGTCACCAATATTTGCAGGCTGTCGAGTGTTTGGGAAAAGGGTAAATATGCAGCATGTGCAAACAAACATGGCCCAGAACATCGAATACATTTACATTGCAGTTCAGGAGGGAATGCTGGCATGATTGATTCTCATTTGGTCTCATACACGACGTCTTTTCCTTTAACGCAGCCTGTATCTAATTACGATATAATTGTAAAAGTTGTTTACATGAGACCAGGGATTATTCGAATAATATGTTTTCGTGAACAATAATGACATTATTTTCATACATGCACGCTTTTGAGTCTTTGTCTTGACATGAATATGATTGGAAAAGGTGTTTGCAAGTGGCCAGGGATTATTCGATTAATATGTTTTCGTGAATAATAATGGCATTATTTCCATATGTGTACGCTTTTTAGTTCTTGTCTTACATAAATAATTCACCAAGTCATAAAGACCTACGTGTGAATATTAAACACCCTTAATTCAATGAAAACAATCGGGGTAAAACGGGGTTTTAGTACTTAACTGCATATTATATTATTGCAAGGGGGAAAATACCCTGAAAGAACAATGTGAGGGCGTCACAAGTATTATTTATGAATGGTTTATTATTTTAGTTAAAAGTATGTTGGTGAATGTTTTTTTCTCTCTGGCACTGTGGGTTGTTAAAAATAGTATTGCATTGCATAATTACAACAGAAATCATTTCCCTCAATCGAAATTCCAGGGCGCCCCCGAGAAGAAACGTTTTGTTTTTTGTAACACTTCAAGCCGTTTTTGTAGTGTCAAGAATCGCGATATTTAAGCTTGAAAGTGGAAGTGTAGATCAGCCATGTACTGTTGGATATTTACCATTAAAGTAGATTAATGTGAAGATATTATAGCAACGACATAGTGTTTAATGGATGTTATACATCCGAAACGGAAGAATTCCGGTCCTCGTTGATTGCAATGAATATTATGATAGAACATAGACAGTGTATGTCAACAGAAAACGTTACATCAACCTCTTGGGGAGTCTTTGTACTATTTCAAATTGTGCCATGTCTGAAAACAATCTAAACCTTCTTCGTTTACTCCGATTTTATATCTCTTCGTCTTGTACTCCGATATGACACCTTTCCCCGTCTTTAATTCCGATTTTATGCATTTCTCCTTCTTTAACTCGTATTAGATATATTACTTCGGGTTTTTACACCTATTTGATACCTCTCTGCGTCTTTTACTCCGATATATAATCTCTCTTCGGGGTTTTACGCCTATTTGATACCTCCCTGCGTCTTTTACTCCGATATATAATGTTATCTCTCTTCGGAGTTTTACGCCTATTTGATACCTCTCTGCGTCTTTTACTCCGATTTGATATCTCTCTTCGGTTTTTACGCCTGTTTGACACCTCTCTGCGCGTTTACTCCGATTTGATATCTCTCTTCGATTTTTACGCCTGTTTGACACCTCTCTGCGCTTTTATTCCGATTTGATATCTCTCTTCGATTTTTTACGCCTGTTTGACACCTCTCTGCGCTTTTACTCCGATTTGATATCTCTCTTCGGTTATTACGCCTGTTTGACAACTCTCTGCGCTTTTACTCCGATTTGATATCTCTCTTCGGTTTTTACGCCTGTTTGACACCTCTGTGCGCTTTTACTCCGATTTGATATCTCTCTTCGGTTTTACGCCTGTTTGACACCTCTCTGCGCGTTTACTCCGATTTGATATCTCTCTTCGGTTTTTACGCCTGTTTGACACCTCTGTGCGCGTTTACTCCGATTTGATATCTCTCTTCGGTTTTTACGCCTGTTTGACACCTCTCTGCGCTTTTACTCTGATTTGATATCTCTCTTCGGTTTTTACGCCTGTTTGACACCTCTCTGTGCTTTTACTCCGATTAGATATCTCTCCCCGGGTTTTTACTCCTCTTTGATACCTCTCTGCGTCTTTTACTCCTCTTTGATACCTCCCTCCGTCTTTCACCCCGATTTGATACTTCTCTCCGTCTTTTAGTCCAGTTTGATACCTTTCTTGACGGAGATGCCCAGAATTGTTTCTGTTTTCAAGATAAGATATGCACTTTCATTTCAGTATTTCAGTCGATGTCAAATATTTTGAGATTACTTCTATTATCAGAGTTTTATTATCGCTTTTTTACTCTCAGTGGCATATAGAAATGCAAAACTGGTTTTATTTTTCTGTCAGTCTTTATTTTTAAGGAAGGTGGATCCGTAAGGTCTGAGATAGATAGACAAGACTGTGTTGTACTAGGTAATACCAAACATCAAGGCTAGAGAATAACCAGTCTCGATTAGCCTACGAAACAGATGTCATTGAATGTAAAAGGCAAAATAGCGGTGAAAAATAGATAAATGGATCACTGAAAATCAGTGATGACACCAGGTGTTCGCAAAGTATGTCCTGTCCTACTGGTACTCCCCGCCACTCTTGCCTTAACAGATAATGTGTTTGTTGCACAGCAACAAGCAACGCCTGATTGAGTCTCATATACTTTCAGTCGGACCTTGACCTTAAATAAACGATAAATGTAACAGATGAGTTGTCATGGAAACAAATAGGGTTTACAGTGAACAGACGACAGTCCATGTGCTTAAAAACATTCATCACAAGTGAAGGGAGCCTTGAGTTTGCATAATCCTCACATATCCCTCACATCGGTGGCGGTCCGTTCTTTGACGGTGGATTATATTTCTCAGCAAATTAACATTTGTCGAGAATCTGTCCGCCAGTATTATGTCTGGCCCTGTGTATGGGAAAGACGATGATTGAATTGTGTCTCATATGCGTTTATTTTTACAGTGTTCGGACAGTTTAACAAATGACATAGCCGGTTTATATTACTAACGGGGAAAGCGTAACTGTGCTTCGTATGAAGTTCAATATATATACATTTATTCTGAACTTAAACAATTGTTTGTTTGACGCCGCACTCAGCAATATTCCAGCTTTATGACGGTGGTCTGTAAATAATCGAGTCTGGACCAGACAATCCAGTGGTTGATATCATGAGCATCGATCCACGTAATTGGGATCGATGACATGCATCAACCAAGTCAACGAGCCTGACCACCCGATCCCGTTAGTCGCCTCTTACGACAAGCATGGTTGCCAGTTACAACAAGCATGGGTTGCTGAAGACCCACTCTACCTCGGATCTTCACGGGTCCTGAACTTAAACAAAGCATCTTTCAATACATATTCATGAAGACATCTCCTCTACTTTAAGGTCTTGATTCACAATTTGCACGTGCATGTTCATGCGATATTTCCAGATACACAATATCATCTCTATGGAGACGTGTGACATCACGTCCACAAGACGACCATATTTGAATAGTGCATCTACGGAATCGATACCAAACTGCTAAATTAACAGCACGGACAGTTCCTGGGTTGAGACCAATGCGTGGCAGCACCGTACACAACCGGTTGTGGGAGCACAACATCCACCCCCGACGTCCAGAGATGCTCCCTCCCAATTTTGCGTCCACTTCCAAGACTGGGACAGTATACTGTTCACAGATGAGTCTATGTTTCAAGGCGACAGTTCTGGTGGTCATACAAGAGGATGTGAGGTGAAATTGGTTTTAACGTCGCGTCTTGTACTAGTCCGGACTAATGCCAATTTTATAGTGCAGTTTAACATGAATACCCCACTCAGACACAGTATACTAGACTCCGAGCCGACCAGTCCTTGTTTTAGCCCCTTAATGCCGAGCGCCATGCAGGGTAAGAACAAGTACCATCTTTTAAAGTC